GATCTGACATCATACTGGTTCTGGGTGCTCAGTGTGTTCCACACTCGAATCAAGTTGTCGCCGACGCCCAGCGCCAAACAGCCGACACCCACGGGGGAGAAGGTCAGGGTGTAGATGTGGCCCCCCAGGGTGGGAAGGGTCCAGCAGCAACTCAGAGAGTTCAGGTCCCAGCATTTAATCTGAGATGTTTCAAAAAGAAAACATCCGCTCTGTTACCCACCTGATGCTTCTGTGGTTTCAGGAGTGCAACTTCAGCATAACTCAAAGATAAAAACGCAGACTATAGTGCATGAGAAAGAAATATATTTCACATTTCTACAAGACAGCTGTTTCTAAATAAAGTGCAGCTCATGGTTATCCCTCAGAGTTTAGATCAAACAGCAACTTTTAAAGTTAGATTAGTTAGATTATCTTTATTGCATCACATTAGGACTGGGAAGGGGTTACTTTGAAAGGCTATTTCTTTAGCTGTTTTTTTACAATTAAATAATCTTTAAAACTATGAATGACCACACATTCCCTCATAGGCCTATATATATATATGATTCTAATGCAAAACTTGTTTAGTTTTTAGGTAAAAGCAGGTGACCCACCTCTCTGTCCATAGAAGTGCTGATCAGCAGTTCTTGGCCGTCCTGCAGCTGAACAGAACTCATGTTGAAAACGATCCGGCTGTGGTTCTGACCCTCGGAAGATGTTCCGAACAGACTCCACTTTTGCTTCCCAGTTTTGGTCAAATCCCACATCACCAACTCACCGCTGGACATATGAGAGATAGCATCAGCATTTTGGCTGAAAACTGCTTAAACGCTGTTCACTGAAGCCCTACAACATTAGATTTTAGTTTTCTTGCACAAACTACAATATTTCTATTTAAAATATTTTGGTGAACTACATGAAATCACGCGTTACTTAGTAACAGAGACAGTCCAACAGCATTACAGATAATCTAACATGCTTAATTGTAGGTAACAGTAGTTTTGATTTATTTCAAAGCAAGCTAGAGTATTTTAAAGGCTCAACTTGTAGTTTTTTTACATGATTAGACCTAACAGTTCCCGTCAAGTCTCAGGGAAGTTGAGTATCACTGTTTTTTTCTGGTTGTTTTGGTACGACTGAAAATTTGTATCTTTTTCACTAGCAAAAAATAAATAAATAAAAAATACTAATCAGAAAAAGTCTTCAGTGACCTGATGCTACCCAAATTTTTGCCAGTGCAAATATTTCTGTAACCTTCAATTTTAATAAAAGCATTTCTTCCCATAACATTTTTCCCATTGACTAATACTTAACTTTTTTTTTTTTTACTTTAAATTAATCTTTTCAGACTTAACCAGTGAATAAAAGGCTGGGAAACCTTACGGAGTATGATTTTAAGCTATAACAGAGTTTTTTTTCAATCAGAACTCTGAAAAATTATCATTCTATTTAGTTTTAAATGGGAGATCTATCTTCCTGATCAACAATATTCATCCCTGAGGAGTAGTTAGGTGTATTTTAATCTGAAAATTTTTACTCCCTGAATTTTTCAGCCCTCTGTAAGGAACTCTGAACCTGAAGCAGCTGGAAACGAGCTGCATCGCTCGTCCTTTCGGCCAGTGGACGTTGAGCCAGATCCTCTCTTTTACCCCAGGGTCAACAGCAGAGCCTCTTCTCTTAAGAAACGGCAGCTTTAGAGTCATCACGCCTGTTAGGAGAGAGTGGAAAACAAGGAGGACTCAGCAATCAGCTCTCTAAAGCGATCTATATATAGAGGAGCTGATGAAGGAACAGTCTTCCAAATAATTTCATTCTAGCCTTAAACTTGTAGAGAGATTTCTTAAACTATATACCCTTCCATTACAATTGAACAAAAAAAAAAAAAAAAATATAAAAAAAAAAAAAAGTTTTTTAATGAAATGCTCTCCCTCACCTTTTCCCTTGGCAGTGCTCCAGATCCTCACCGTCTGGTCTTTGCTCCCAGAAGCCAGATAGCAGCCGGATTCTTCTCCTGTTGAAACTCCATTGTTTGCTGATTCATACCACATAAGCATTAGATTTAAATCGAGGTCATATTTTTTTTTTTTTTAATAATACATATATACACATGTTTTAAGTTGACATGATAAAGTTACCTTCGTGTTCATCAGCTCTGGCGTAGAGGGCCTCCTCTCCAATCTGAGGGGACCATGCCAGCGAATGGATCTCGTTGTCATGCCCCCGCAGACGCTGCATCACCTCGCCTTTTTTACTTATGTCAATCAGCACGATCATCCCGTCTTTGTACCTGCGTTGGTTTGTTTATCATTACACAAGTTTCAAGGGAACCATTTCACTGGAACTTGTGATTATTTACCAATCATTCCCTAAACCATCTTTTGATAATCCTTGACTTTTCAGTTCTGCAACAAAATACCCAAATTAATAAAGAGTGACACCTTGATTAAACTCTTCTAAAAGGAGATGTTCTATGGATTATACAGCATTTTGGGGCAAATGTTAAAGTGGGTAAATATCCTAACTTTTTATTGTTAGGAAACTGCAACAGACTTAAATGTAGCTTTTTGTGATCACCTTTCGACATCTACTTAGGAGTCTTAGGCTACGTTCACACTGCAGGCCTTGATGCTCAATCCAAATTTTTGGAAAACAAAAATTTTTTGCACTACTGTTCACATTTCCAAATATATGCGTCTTGTTTGTGATCTCCGGTTTGAACTGAATTCATACAACCTAAGTGTCCTGCATGCGCAGCAGAGTACGCAATGACTTCACAAGCAAGCGTGCTCTGTGTTTATGGAAGTAAACATGGATGGTAGTGCTGGAGAACATTTGTTGATCATTCCCAACTTTAAAAAACTCAATCTTTCTAAAGTGGTTCAAGATAAATAATACTCTCTGCATCATCGTCCGCCATGGTTGTTGTTTTTCTTGCCACTTCTGCGTAACAAGAGGCAGAAGAGTGACCACTGTTGGGTATTAATGACATTCAGGTAGGATGGATTCAGCCTGGCTGTTTTCAGAAACTGGCCGCATTTGAAAAGATCCGTTTCGGATCAAATTCAGGACCACAGAGCCAAGCGGACTGGGTAACATTGGAAAAAAATTGGATCTGTGTTGTTCAGACTGTCATGAAAAAAATCAGATCGAGTTTGCATATGGGCAAAAAAAAAAAATCGGATTTGGGTCACTTCAGGCTGCAGTTTGAACGTAGCTTTTGTTAGTTCTGGAGGTTTGCAGTTCAATGAGTGGTAGTTAGCAAAGTCAGGAGACTACTACTACTCACCGATAAATGTTAGTCAGTTAACAAACAGCAATTAAACAATCAGAAATATTTAAACTAGTAACCTGGTATAAAGCCACAATCTTCCACCCTTAATTGTGGAGTAAAGTGATGTGGAATGATCCACCTACCCTACAGCCACAGACTTCCAGCTGTGAGGAGAGCAGGTCAGGCAGAAAATGGTCCTTGGCTCAGGGAAGAAGCTGGTCGTGTCGCCAGTGTGGAACCAGTGGCAAACCACCACTCCCTTTTCGTCACCCGATACCACCAGGTTTTTATCCACAGGGGACCAGTGCACTGCTGAGATGGGACTCTGATAAACACAAAACAACCCAATTTAATTCTGCCATGTGATCTAAAATTTTGCAGATAACTTATCTTAAACTATTAAAACAAAACATCAATCTACTATCCTGATTCAGCATAACATGGGCCAGAACAGACACTTAACTCATTCTGTTAGTGCAAAGCAGTCAGAATGATTCTAAACGTACCTGATGCGCCACATTCTTGCTGATCAAAGTCTTCTTGCTGGAGTCCCAGTAGATTATGCTGCCATCAGTGGAGGAGCTGACACAGATGTGACTCTGCTCAGGGTGCTGGCAGAAGGAAAATCCTGACACCAAATCTCTGTGGCCAGCAAGCTCACCTGCAAAACACAGAGCACTAAAGTACTGTTCACACAGACAAAGAACGAGGATGGAGACTTTAATCTGCAGTTTCCATATATTAAGAAAGAAAAATCATTAAGATGCTTCATAATATCCAGACCTGAACTCTAAATGTGCAGCTATTCAATTAAAAGCTACTAAAGTCACATTTTTATATAACATTCCCAGCCCTTTTCTGTTTTAGCATAAGTACAATCACTGACAATTTAACACTACATGAGCTACTAGCTTTCAGATCTAAAAATACAGCTTAAAACAATAAACTGATGACCAAGAGAAATATTCTGGTAAAAGTAATGAGAATGAGAGAAGACACCAAAGACATAGACCCTGTTTCAAAACAAAATGTTCCTGAGTTAAAGCATATCCATTGATGTAAAACTTTTGGAGGCAAGACAAAAAAAAAAAGTAAAAGAAAATGTAGAGAAATTGAATTACCATGGATACTGAGTTCGAAGACATAGTTTCTAACTTATTTTCTAAGTTCCAGAAAAAAAATATAATTAAAAACCTATTACTTTATGGTGTTATATGTCGTTGACAGTGTGCACAAGCTCACCTGTAACCCTGCATGAGGCAGCAGAGACCTCTATCAAGTAGATTACGTTTTTGGCACCGACTCCCAACAAACCGCTCCTGCTGACATCGCTGCAGCGCGAGTTGTACCAATTAGGGGAGGCGGGAAGTGTCCTCTCAGGCATGGCGCCTCAGAAACCTTGAATAAAGGTTTAATTTATTTTACTATTTAAGTCTGAGTAAATCAAAATAAACTCCTCACATGCTGCCTGTAGTCTTGCAGCTGTAACGTTAAAGAGCAGCGCGTTGTCGCAAAAATCCTGCCAAAGGTACGGAATCCTAATAGGGTCAAACCATAGATATCCATAATAATTTATTATGGATATCTATGGGTCAAACCGTACGACGTTTGCCTTTTTTTTAAAAACCCTGATTTAAAGTTGGAACCAATTTTTTTTTGTTTAAATAACAGCTGATGATGATATCAGGATAAACATGAAATTATTCGTTCTTATGAAAGTTTCTACTTTTACTTTAACAGATAAACACTGCTACCGTAAAGCGAACCGTGTTACGTCGTGAAGTTTTCCAATATGGCGGCTGCAATGACAGGTCGTGGTAAGGAACACCTATTTTAATAGTAAAAATAATAATAATAATAATAAATGTATGCATATTGCCAAGTCTCTTAAATGCTCACGTTTTTTGCAGGTGTCGCTTTCATTAGGAATATAGCTGGGTCGCTTCACTCGAGGTGAGAAAATATTAAGAACCTGTTAGCTGTAAAGCTAATGTCCGAGGACGAACTGCATAGGTTGCTATTTCTATACCATGTTGATGCAAACATACGAGTTTTGTCACCTTTTATAAAATATAAGGCTTTAACTTGTAGTAATACTGCCTGTTTACTTATTCATTTATCTCTGTTGCCTTGCAATATTTAAGTTTATAAATATATATGTTGTATTGTTTTTTACGTAAGAAAGAAATGTGGTGATTCCTACTTGAAAATGTAAATAATTTTATAATTAACTTTAACTACCTTTTTAAAATGGTGTTTAAAAATGTACCTGATTTTGTAGAACATAATCGTTTTACTGTTATTTTTGTCTATTCTAGCCCATTTTTGATATATTATTAGTAATAATAATAATAATAATAATAATAATAATAATAATAATAATAATTGAACTTTATTGATCTCATCTTGGAGAATTATATAAAAAAACAAAAAAATTACATTTATTTTTTGAGAAATTTACCTGCTATCATGGAGCAATTGGGGGTTAACGGTTGCTCAGAGATCCAGAGTGGAGGTCTGTGGGAGTGGGGCTCAAACTCGCAACCTCAGAATTCCAAGCTCTATGCCCTAACCTGTAGTTTGCTTTTAAATTTTAAAATAGTTAACACTTGTCTATCCCAAACCGATTTATTCTATGCTGTTTACAGATTCTTTTATTCATGTTAAACTTTACATCCATTTGATAAATTATACCAAATTTCATCTTAAAACAAATAAGCTTTACTTATCTAATATAGGTTATGTTCATATCTCCTACTTTATTTTCTTTTCAAGCTTGCATTGCATTTAGGACAATATTTGCAATCAGAAACCTTTGATATCAAGTCCACATACCTTTGAATGTTTAAACTTGTATGCTTTATTCTACTCTGAATAGGTTATTTTTTGATATACAGTATGAAACCTTAGATTTTCTGGGGAATCCATCCTGCTTTGGTTGCCTTGTCAGAACTGGCAACTTGTCAGTTATATTTGGTTGCTCAAACTAACCAATTATACATGTTAACATTTCGATCTATCCTTTAACTGAATAAATTAAGGCTTTATTTTACTGTTTTTAAGCCTCATACTAAAAGAAAAGGTTCTTAGGGTTGAAGCTCTTTGTGAGTTTTCATGATCCCAGAAGCCTTGGAAAAGTCAGTTGTATATTTTTAGCCAATTCCGGCCATGCTGAATTGTTCCTTTTCATCTTTCATCTCCATTGTTTCAGATTACCGACTCTGGGTGGTGCATCACAGCAGCTCTCATGCCTCCACACAAGCATTTCATTAAATTCCAAACACTGGGAGAAGAACAACCATAAAGTATATCCTCCTCAGCTGCAGGACGAGCCCCGCAGACCTGCAGTAAGTGTCTTCAGTAATTCTTATGAGACCTTGGATGAGTAAAAAAAAAAAAACTTGGCATCTCAACAACATTTTTCTAACTTGCTCTCTCTCTGCAGGAGGTTTATCACAGCAGGAGGCAGATAAAGTACAGCAAGGATAAGATGTGGTACTTGGCCAAAATGGTGAGGCTATCTGCCACGAGTTCAGTCCTTCCCATAAATTTTTTTTCTACTCTCGTTTGGAATCCCTACAAAAACTGCTGAAAACTTACAGGAGCTAAAATGGCATATTGCAAAAAGTAAAGTTTTTCTTTGTTAAAAGAATAATTTGTACAATTTTTGTATTAAATACTTAAAATTTGTCCCAAAAAATGTATCCACTACAATTTGATTGTTTACATTTATACAAAAATTGAGTAAGAAATATGTTGACTTATCAAAATCGTATATAAAACATGAACAGTTTTACAATTTCACATCAAAGGTGTTAAAAAGTTTAGATTTATTTTCCCTTTTCAGCTTTTAGTTTTTTGCTTCATCTTTTAAAAGTATATTGTGTTTATTGTTTGAAAATTTGGATATAGCGACCCATAATTATAAGGAAACATTCACCACCATCTGATGCAGTTTTTTTCCTTACAGATCCGGGGGATGAGCATCGACGAAGCTATTGCACAGCTGGAATTCAATGACAAGAAAGGAGCAAAGATCATGAAAGAGGTTCGCTGCTGCATGATAACTGATCCATATTTTACTTATTGAGTTTTGTTTTTACAGTTTCCCCCTGCCTTAAGTTTTGTCAAACGTGTGCATGAAAGCTGCTGTTTGCCTGTTTCAGGTTCTTCTTGAAGCTCAAGAGATGGCGGTCAAGAACCACAATGTAGAGTATAAATCCAACCTCTATGTAGGTGAGTATCTGCAAACAGTAATGCATCAAAATACTAATTTAGTAAACAACAGCCAACAGAGGTCCAATTGATTTGTGATTGATTCACATATAGACAAATGGTTGAAATGTTAATGGTCAGACTCACTTGCTGCCTTTGTGTCTAGAATAAATTTATGAAGCCTGGATTAGCTATGAGTTTAATCAACATCTGCTTAGATTTCTTCTTTAGTTTTGGATACTTTAGTGGGAAAAGGAATAATTCTGTATTCTTTAATTGTGTTTCTTTTCCTTCAGCTGAGTCATTCTCGGGCAAAGGCAAATACCTAAAGAGGATCCGCTACCATGGCAGAGGCATGTTTGGCATCATGGACAAAGTTTATTGCCACTACTTTGTGAAGCTGGTTGAGGGTGTGCCACCCAAACCAGAGCAGAGTACTAGCTTTGATCAAGCCAAAGAGTATGTCCAAAGCTTGAAGAACCGGACCATCATCCACAGCCTTTAGAACACTATTGTTTTTGTGTCGTTTGATATTTGTAAATAATTTAAAATAAAACAAAAAGAAAAGTTTTTGCTTGCTTATTTTCCCAGAGTTGAGTTTTTATAGAAAGCATTGCCGTTTATTTAATTATAATTTTTTAAATTATTTTTCAGTCAGACTAGGTGGGTTCTCTCCTGTATCCCTGCACTAGATTTGAGCTTTTAATCTTTGTGAAAAGTCTGTAATGTGTAGCCATTAGATATAATGGAGGATTAATTGTACTTGGATCTGATTCTTAATTGCTCATTAAAGGTGCCTGCAGTCAACACCACAGGGTTACTCTGGGCAATTCAAAAGACTAACCAGGGTTAGTCAGGAAAACTATGAGGTTTAAATTGGATTGTTTCCTGGGCTGAAAATCAGATCCATGGCTTGAAATACATTTGCCCCTTTCTGGTGTCAAATCTTGAGTGGGTGAGATCACATGCAGAAAACCAGGAGTGTCATGCTGCCAGATGGGAAATAACTACGATCTGCTCCCATTTCAACTTTACATTTTGTTCAGGATTCAGAGGTTACTACAGATAATATTTTGAAACTGTTGGGGAAACTAAAGCTATGTGAAGAAAATCTACAGAAGAATACAGTCTTTAACGTCTGTTTCTCTCCCAAAACTGCAAGAACTACAAGAACAGGGCAGGAACAAACATCCAGGAAATTGACAGTGAACTGAATATAAACTGGACACTAGTAACAATATTTACAGGATCCATCAGAACAGACTGCCGATGAGGCTGAGATCTTTTTCAATGGAAGGGGTGCTATTAAATGCCATTCATGACTGGTGGCATCAGATGTTTTCCATTCTTTAGTCGATTGGAGCGATAGCTTCTATAACACCGGGAGGTGGATCAGGCTTTAGATAACGGGAAGGCTGCTCTGTCATGGGATGCCCGGTTAAGTCAGTGCAGCTGGTTGGAGATAACTGTTAGACTTTATAACCATCATTGCTCTTGTCCAATTTTAACTTTTATTTTTACATCTTTGCTGTCAATTGGGGAGTATTTCTATTTTATAAAATCATTTTAACCTAGTTAGTTGCATATTTTATGTATACAGTTTTTGATAACCACAATGTATTTTTTCACTTTTTCCCTTGCTACTTAAAAGGCTTGAATTAGCCAACTGTGGTATAAGGATTGTTTTATCCTACCCTAGCTTATTTTTTTTTTTTTAAAGTGGTAATACTCTCCTAGCCATGGGAGTGAGATACTTCTCCATTCTTGTGGAGAGTACATAGGCCTAACACTTGATAAGAATATTCTATATTTATTCTATACAGTCCACTTGAAGTGATTTATTTTCATATTACTAAAATAACAGGGAACCCTGGAGACATAATTCTGGAAGACATGGAATTTTTCAGGAAAGAAAATGCTTTTTGTGCTTGTCTTCCGCTGCTTATCTTGCTTTAGGGCATCAGACTAAAACAGAAAAGGAGATTTTTTTATTTTTTTTTAAATGATAGATTGTTCTTCGTCAATAGAATCTCAGACTTCATCAAATAGTTCCAATGGATAAATTTGTAAATAGAAAAATAATTGATCTTATTTGATATCTGTGATCCTCTTACAATGAAAACTTTTAGAAAACCCATACACATATATGCATATATACATATGTTTACATGTTATAAAAATAAACAACATTAATAACAAACTAAAACCACCCAACAGAAGATTTTGTGAACAAATCGGAAGATTTTCGAGAGGGAAAAGGATGAAGCAATACCTTATCCAATCATGTCCCTATATTATTCTACAAGTTCTTGTATGTATGGGTTACAATTTAAACTACCGGTAGTTAAATTGTAACCCATACATACATATGTGTATGCATGCACAGTAATATGCATGTGGCCACAATATAGACACATATCAAAATACCAGCAAATACAGATTACTCAATCCTCTCCTCTTCTTCCTTCCTTCCTTCCTTCCTTCCTTCCTTCCTTCCTTCCTTCCTTCCTTTAGATAGAAAATTTTGACTCAATATGACTGTATGATCTAGTTGAATTGTAAAGTGCCTCGAGATGACGTGTTGTGAATTGGCGCTGTATAAATAAACTGAATTGAATTGAACCTGCCTCGGTCATATTAGGGTTGAAACGCCATAAATAAGACAGACAAAATTGGATCAAGTATACCTTCCATAGATGGAAGCAGATAATCTAAATGTGACCGTAGTAATAATGAAATATCTGGTGAGAAATTTGAAATGTTTTTGTAGTTTAAAATAAAAATGTAAATCAAACTGTGACAGTTATACATCATGAAGAGGAGAGTGCACACAATTATTGTTCTGCCTTCATGGTGTCCCTCCTCCAACTGCAGCACATTTACAGGCATTAAAAAAAAAACACAAACATCCCACTGCAGCTCTGTTTTTGGAGCTTGCTTTGATCCGACAGGCGTAAATAGAGTCTGAAGTGTGTGCCAGTTCCTCTGTCACTGTTTCACCCTGATGGGTTTGGTGGTTCTGTCAGTGTGACAGCAGTCAGCACTACTCCTCCTCTGAGTCCAAACCTGTCAGGATCACTGATCGTCAGCCCGTCACTTTAACCAAAGCTCTGTGAGAAACAAGCTCCGGGATGTTCTTTATTAAACACAATGTTTATTAAAAAAATAAACACAATGTTTAATTATTGGGCATGGTTAGATTTCACAAAAAAATAATTTAAACTGTAAAAAGCTTACTCCATGGTTATAAAAGCAAAATGTAACTTTTTAGACTCCTAATTTTGTTTGCTTGACTTATTTCCTATGGAATTAGCATGTTAGATGTGCTATCCACCTGCTTTACTTGGCTGATGTAAAATGTAATCACTATCTTGTCAATAAAATATAACTTTATCAAAGACATGAATTTTATCTTTCCAGGGAAATTAAATTTCTTGAATATTTTCTTAGAAACAATAACATAAATAAAAATAAGGGTTTCTCTTCCAGTGATATGACAGTAATAAAAAAGGGAAGAATAATATCTGATATTTTACAAGGTAATTATACGCCTGAGTAGCAAAAAAAAAAAAATGTTACAGAAATCTACTCCCAGAACCAAACTAGGAGAAGCAGCTTTTCATTGTTATTCTCACCTAATGCGGAATAAAATTTCAAAAAATCTGTAAAATCTTTGAAAACCTAATTTGCTTGAATTATAGATGGAAAACATATTTGTTTAGAGTGTTTTTTGGCTGTACTATCCAAACCTGATTAGTTATTATTTTTTGTCCAACTTTCCTTAATTTTTAATAATTCATTTAATGTTTTTTATTATTATTATCCTGAATTAAGTATTTGTGGGGACGTCAGTGGTGTCAGATGTAGGAGTCTGCCCTGAAATTGAAGTGTTGACAATTCAAGCCGGCTTTTAGTGTCTTTGTGTCCGTGGGCAAGACACTTCACCTGCATTGCCTACTGATGGTGGTCAGAGGGCCCGGTGGCGCCAGTGTACGGCAGCCTCGATTCTGTCAGTGAGCTCCAGGGCAGCTGTGGCTATAATGTAGCTTGGCACCATCAGTGTGTGTGGGTGATTGAGTAAATGATTGAATGTAGTGTAAAACACTTTGTAGAAGTCTCCTGACTTGAAAAAGCACTATATAAGTATAGGCCATTTACCATTTTATTAATTATGCTTTCAAATTATTTGTGTTGCTTTTTTGCCACTGCAATGTACTCTTCTATTTCTTCTCATATACAGCACTTTGAATTGTCACACTACCGAAATGTAAAGTGAAATAAATTTGATTTGTACTGGTTAAAATCATAAAACACTGCAGGCCAACTGAAAAGGAATGGCAAACAATATGTGAGTAAATCATCAGGATTTTAGGACTGGTTTACATTATTGCCCCTCACTGTGGCATCTCCTGGAGCAGCTGAAAGAACCCACGCACTTGAATATTTATGAACTTACTGAACACTTGAAGGGGTTGATCTGTGTGGACTGTGTTGTTTGGATTTTGAAAAAGAAAGAAAATATCCTACCCTATCCAGCATGTCTGTTTTAAATTGATTTAAAAAAAAATCAGTATTGGTGTAACAATTTATTAAGATATCTAATTTTAAAGAATACTGATTACTGTTCATCTTTATTTATCTTAATGTAATATGATTTTGGAAAAACAAAGTAACTGTTTCTGGTATTAACTTAATAATATTTAGTTATTTTAGCACATAAAAAAAATTAGCACGGTAGCATTATTTTTTTCAGTGTATATCATTGGGGCTTTATAGCCTGGTTCCTTTATTGTGTTTAAAAGCAGATTGAAAGCCACCAATATCAATCAAAAGAAAGAATAGAAACATTTTAGATATAAAACATGTTTAAGAACGATAATACTAGTTTTGCAATTCCCTCCTTGTTTTAAATTTAATGAGTTTTCACTTGGATAGTCATCCTGCATCTGCCAATGTCCTGTTGCAGTTTCAGTCTTCTGCCACCAAAAATTGGGACAGTAGGAGCAGACAGAGGGAGCCAGATCATCAGAAGGACCTTGTTCAGCTACCTCGGTCAGCAAGTGGAGAAGGTTTCAGGACCCCTTTTCCACCTTGTTCAGGCAAAGGTTTGCAGCAGCTGCCATGGAGGCATCTCAGAAAAAGAAAACAAATTGCATCAAATACAAACATAGCAGGGTGAATCTCCAGAGATTCTTGAGGAGTTTCAGCAACAGAGCCAGCCTTCCTAATTACCTTGTTAAGCTTTTTTAAGTAATTTACTCTAATACTGTTACCCCAGCAGGAAGTGTTGCAGCTCAAAGTCCAAGCAGTTTATTTTTATAACTACATGCACAGTGACTCAGTTTAACGGTTAAATTTCACCCTTCCCTTAAAAAGAGTGACTGTACCACCCACAGACTTATTTGAGAGGTTGTTCACCTTAAATAATGGATAAAATTTAACTCTTCATAAATTAAGCAGTTAATTGATATCTGATTTAACATTACATTAAGATGATGTAATGATCAGAATAGATGGACCCAGAATTCAAACCTGACAACCAG